CGTCGTGCTGATCAAGAATATATATACTTTATGGGGTCTGCGATGATTCCTTCTGCCTGTTACATACTTTTACACAATAAAATTATACCCTGATTTCCCATTTTCAATGGGTTCAGGGTATAAAAATAAGGCAAACATGTACTGCGTATGGTAATCGCGAGTATGCATGCCAAATTTCAGCTCTCTAGCTCCTATAACAGACGCACAGGGCTATATCGACTCAACTTGTCGTCCTGATCAAGAATATATATACTTTATGGGATCTGCGATGATTGCTTCTGCCTGTTACATACTTTTTACAAAACTATTATACTCTGATTTCCCATTTTCAATGGGTTCAGGGTATAAAAACTGTGTGCTCGACCAAATCGCAGCACCTGCGATCAGATGGAAAGCGATCAAACATGTCAAGATTGGCATTCATATCATAATTGGCAGACATAAATAAATATGCTTGGAATATGAAATGTCACATAGGAACATGAAAAGCAACTCAATGTCGTATACGCAATATATTGTCATCGATCATTTAAGGATTGATATTTGTCGATTTTGAAGCTGTAAATAACTCGCTTTAGTGACACACAGGAAGGTCATCTTCCGCAGATGGGACAGATTTACATGCCCATAGTATATGTATATTTATACACAGTACAGGCGAATTATTTTGTAATTATTTTGACTGCATATGATATATGGCTTTAAATAGTCCCAAATAGAAGTGTGCATACAAAGGTTCATAATACCATATCGAGTTGAGCATAGTAAAAAGGTGGTTAGGTCACTTACTTTTTGGATGAATGAAACTTCTTTTCCCTGCGATGCAGCTCGATCCAGAATATTAAGAGTAGTGCAATAGCCGATGCCAGTATCATAAAGGTCAAAGCTGGCAATACACCAGAATCGGCCCATTTAAAGTATGTATCAACTGCTAAATAAAATAACAATGAGAGCTGCGTTTTGCTGCTATATGGAAAGTACTTACAGTTGCAACGGGGCACCATTTCGTGCATATTATGGGGCTGGCAGTTTTTAACAGCCGCACATTTGGTCTGGCACAAACGTTTCTCCAGGCAACGTATGTAGATATTGCTAATCCCATCAAGCAGCGAGAAACCTGGCGACAGGCACGCACCATAAAAGAAAATGACATTGCTATTGGCCACGTCCCAGTAGACAATGTAGAGCACCAGGCCCGTGAGGCCCTGAAACAGGACGGAGACGAGAAAGGCGCGCACCATAGACCTATTCATGTACATGGATACCACATAGGTGATCGGCAAGGCGGCCAGCCCATAGACAAAGAGCAGCAACAACAACATCAGATTTTCAATAATGCCAAAGTCACCAACATTCGTGCAAGCCACAATAATAACAATAATTATCGAATAGATCAAATAGGTAAATATATCCCAAAGCAGATTAACGCCCCAATATATTTGCAGTCGTAGGCCTGCGATCACCTGAAGCACGCGCAGCCCACAAATGTGTTCCTCCACTATCGGTATTATGAAAATTGAGATAACCAAGGGCAAGATGCAACCAACTGCGAGTGGAGCATTGATATGGGCTATCTCATTGTCTAGCAGATTGATCTTCATGGTTAGCGGGGTCGGCATCGGATGGCTGTCCACTAGGGTCGCATAGTCCGTCTTATTTGTGTACGATAATCTGTAAATGATTTCCAGGAACAAGAATAATGAAAACATTAAGAACAGTAAGAAAGCTATCGTCGAGACTGCTCGACTACGAGATCCCCTGAACCTTTCGAGAAACTGATACTTCAATATTTCACAGACTCACATAGGCATATGCGCCTTGGCTGTAGGGTAAGCGTACTATGGAAACTTAATTCATAAATAACTTTTCTTGTGGATGGACTTTCTTTATGAAACTTTCAGATTATTATTATATTAAAATGTGTGCATTTGCAAAAGCAAATATGCCTTTTACAAATCTAGTGGTGAGGAGGTGGATGCTGAAGTGGGGCGTAAATTATAACAAAAATCGAAATTCTATAAAATACTTATGAATCTACATTTAAAATTTTGGGACTCTAGCTCTAAAAGGTAGGATATATATTTAAATAACTTATTTTCTCTATAGGGGTTTTTATCGATAACAAAATAACGGGAGCAGATTTGGGAATCGATAACTAACTATAGAATTTGAACTCAACGAGGATAATAAATGGAATGAAATAGTTGAAAAGGAGCAAAATCGAACTATTTGATTGAAACTATGAAAAACACGGGGAATGAAACAAAAATTAAACGAATTGGAGAGCAATGCCATAACTAAGAATAGTTAAAGTGCAACAATTAGGAACAATTAACATAAGCGAATTCAAAACGGTTGTAACGGAAATATTTGTAACACAATAGGCTAGGTGCCAACAGGTGCATAGGAACGCTTAAAATGGTAGAGTTGTATACATAAATATTGTCAAATGGAAGAAAGAGTAAATTACCTAGCAAAACTTTAAAAGCTGGAATGGAACAGCATTGCAATTGAGCTATTGAATTTAGCACTGTCAATACTTACTGGATTATAATGTTGTGCAGTAGGTTCAGTAGCATGGGTGCTGAATGGAACGTATCCTGACTAATATAGCCACTGATGTCCTGCTGTCCGCCTTGCTCGACTGCACCCAAGCTGGTCAGCTCCACCTTCTTGGCCAAAGTGTGTCTATATTGGCCTTGCTCACATGAAAACGAATTGGCATCAAATGTGCGAGATAATCCATTGGCTTTCCTGTATGTTGGCACGTTAGTCACGGTTTTGATCTCAATGTATCCACAATTATTGATATTTGGAATTGTCTTCAAGAATTCCTCGCTGCCTAGGAACCCAATTGGTATTGAGTTCTTTCGTACATTGGGCACATTCAGCACTATTGCTAGTCGCGTGATAACCACGATAAGAAAGAAACATGAAAATATCATGACGACGGGCCAAACATTGGGTGCCGTATGGATCATTTTCTTATAGAACATGGCGCGAACTTGTTGCTTTTTTAGCTTTTTCTTCGATACCACAGAGTACTTGAAGGTTTGCGCTAGTTTTGTGTATAAAATCGATAATCGATTAATCAATAAATTGCAAACTTATCGATTTACTTACTGACATCGGGGATAATTTGCTGCTGCAGACGAAAAGATGTCGCCAGCTTCATGTAAATGTCTGACATCTCAGAGCCCACAACTTGGACATTCTCAATGCCCAACTTTTTTCGTTCGTTCTCCAAATGTATTAACATTTTCTGCAAACGCGGCCTATGTCGTGCATTTATCTTATAGGTTAACGTGTCACCGATTTCATTTTCCGGCTCCGTCTCCGGTATGTAATTGGCTATAAAATCTGTTATTGGCGTATCCGATACATGGGGTTTTTTGATTATAATCTGTCAAAATGAAATTAATTTTGTAAGACAATTCGATGAGACTCATTACATTTGTTGCCGAAAAATGGGGTCAAGAAAAAGAAAAAGTACAAGAAGGAATACTATATTTGATCGTATTAAGTTTATGCGCCTCCAATGGAATTTAGCTAGGGACCTAACTGACTTCATTCGACAATCTTTGTAAAGCGCATTAACCTATTTTTGAAGTTTTTATTCGATTCTTAAAAGAGATTTGTCATTGGAGGGGAAGTCCCAGGGAAACTCTTCAGTAAAATCAACAAAGATTTTTAAGCCAAGACAAATCGAAATTCGAAAAGTAAAAGGTGGAAATCAGTACTTATAGTAACTCAAATAGAACTGTGTATCTGTTAACTTTTCATGAAAACCTCTCGTTTTATATCATAAAAACTCTCAACTTACCAGCTCAACAAAGCTACTAAATTTTGAACGTAAAAAGAAGGGAGTACCGCTGGCTTCCAGGACACCCATGCTTAGGATGCCAATTCGGTCAGCAATGGCGTCAGTCTCATCGATGCTATGGGTGGCAACTAGAAAAGCATGGTCCTCCTTTTCGGCAGACACAATGTTCCAGAATATTTTCGCCTCGCGAGCCGTCATGTCCTTTGTAGGCTCCTCGAAGACAATTAGTTTCGTATCACCCGCTATTGCGCAGCAAAGTGCGACCACACGTTTTTCACCGTAGGTAAGTGTATCGATTGGCTGCCAGCGCTCTGCAATATGCGTTTCGATAAGGTCTAACCACTTTTTGCACTCTGATTTATAACGATCCGAATCCCAATCACTCTGCTTTAGTTTCACATGATAGTTGATAGTTTTTTCAATCGATAAATGAGGGAAAAGACCATTCTCATAGCTTCGAAAATCCACAAATTTCCGACTGCGACGTATATCTTCATAAATATCCTCGCCCATATATAGGATGTGACCCCGTAATGGATATTTAAGCCCACATAATACGCGCAGTAAGGTTAGCTTTCCGGATCCCATATGACCCAATAGCACATAGATCTCACCCACATATAATCGAATTGAGATGTTCTTTAATATTTTGCGTTCAGATGTACGATGTGCCGTAAATATATGGCGCAGTCGGACTATCTCCGAGCTGCCAACATCTCCAAACTCGAAATTGTGCCAGCTAGGCGTTCGTCCCAAATGGATGGGGGTATTGTCCAAAGTGTGCTTTCGACATCTTTTATATATCATACGCCTACTTAACAATCGTCCGGGCATCCGCCACTGCAGAAGGCATAGAATACCTATAGAAACTAATATATATACAAGTCCAGAAACAAAAGGTGAAAAATAGTCTATAGGACGGAGGGTGCCCGGTTCATCAATCAGTCGATGAATCATTTGCATAAAATACGGTATCTGATTGCTGAAAAAAATCATCAATATAAAATACACATAAGGCCCGTGTAAGTCCCAATATCGCTTGAGCATTAACCCAAAGACGGCATAATTAAACGCCCAAATAATGATCGCAAAGAGTACCGCATTGACTACATCCTTAAAGATCTTTGCTATGATAATGGCCGTTAAGATCAGCTCCAGCGTAATGATAATCACAAACACGATTAATGACAGCAATGCTATTGGAGAAAATATCCCATCGACGACTGACCAATAAATCTGCAAAAAAAAAAAAAAAAAACTATAGGCTATAACACATGCATACAAAAAACGATCTTTAAGAAACTTACAAAAGTTGCGAACATTATTATAAGTCCAAGGCAAAGAAGACGTAGCATCAGCACAATCATTATGCAAGTATATTGCTTACAAAAACTATATCCGTAGTGCCACTGATGCGTCATAACATTGTCCTTCATCTGTGCAGCCATACTCTACAAGGAAATAAAACTATTACATTATCTACAATCCAATACTCCAAACTTTCTAAATGCTGTAGATATTCTATTTTAAGATATTATAAATACGAAATTTAACAAATAAAAATGCTGCTGAACCCTCCAAGCTGCTTTTCTAATCATATTACACTTCTTTTGTGCACACATAAATACAAATACATATGTATGTACATACATGCATACATACATATATACATACATATGTATGTACATACATCACCACACTTGCATAAGCAGGCGCTCTGCTAACTGCGCAGTTAGCAGCGAATGCGCTTGGACGCGGGGTGGGCGAAATTATGAGATTTATTTGTTAAATAATTTCTCTTATAGTAGGAGAGAACGAGATCATAACTTAAAGTGTGTTTTTAACTGCAAAGCACAAATTTTTAGTACTTGGCATACGTTTTTTAATATTACTACAAATTGGAGTTGAAGGGGCTTGATATTCAAAATCTGTAAATTACACATGTAAATACACAGTAAATCTGAATTCTTCAGGTGTAATTGTGTTTAAATTAGGTTGAAAAACGAAATCAATTAAATCGATGATTCTCGATAATAAAAAAATCGGATAAGCTATCGAAAAATTGATGATAAACTCGTACTGCGTAAGGTATATGTATATATGTATATGTATGTATGTACACGAGTATGCATGCACAATTTCACTAGCTTTTATATCTTCTGAAATTTGGACGTTCATACAAAAGGACGGAGAGGGCTAAATCGACTCAGCTCGTCGCCCTGATCAAGAATATAGTATATACTTTATGAGATCTGCGGTGCTTCCTTCTGCCTGTTACATACTTTTCACAAAACCATTATAACCTGATTTCTCATTGAAAATGGAAACCACCTCGTAGTGTTGGACTCACCCGTATGACATTTATAAACGGTAACAGATAGATAAAGTTAAATAGAAAGGATGGAATAGCGTCAAAGTCCATTGTAGAGCAGCGCTCGTTGGCTACACGGAGTCGCACATTGAAAACTTCCGTTTGGGGCTCTGTTGCTTTAGATGGATCTTGACTTCGTAGCATGTGGAACCATGCCAAAAATACTTGATGTTGTAGCTGAAGGAAACCCTCACGTATATAAATGTCCTGATTTATGTCACTATCCTTGGCATTATCTCGCTTTGAATTAACAACGCCTGAGCATCGAGTTAGCCATAGGCGGTCTTCGGTGAGAAATGGGCTAATTGTTCGAAACTCGCTGGGGAAACGTATTGATACAGAGAGTACCTTTGGAATAGCATCAGGATCTTGATCCAATCTGTCAAAAACAACAGCAGCCAGCATAGTGCGTTCATCAAATTGATTTTGCAACGTTTCTGGATCATTATAGCCAATGGAATTATTTAACTCCAGTACAGATGTCACGACATCGACGACCCTTTTTACAAATGGTGTATCCGGCGAGTAGGCCAGCTTATATTTGGTTTGCTCGCGCTTTGAGTCGACCAGGCTCCTATCAGTTGCAACATTTGGACCTTGATTAAATACAACTAGTATATGTATTTGCATTTAGCTTACGTGAGTATATTGATATCATCCAGCTTATGGGACACGATGGTCTGGTCTCCCTCATAGTCAGTGCGGCTGTAGAGCGCTCTTTTTGAATAGAAGATGGGATTGGCAAGTATTAAAATCAACATTATGATAACGATTATCCATTCAAATAGAGTGCGCCTCCAAAGAGCCAATTCGATTTGCACATTGTGCTGAAAGAGCAAACCAAATGTAGCCGGCATATTGTAACAGGTGTGTTTTTACTACTATCAAAAGTAATCGGCTTAGTTAATTAGTACATCTGTGAGCTACTCCACGTTAATTTTTTTAAATTTTTAGTGTGCATTTATTACTAAATAAAACTTGTGTAACTAACACTTTTCTATGCTTGACAGAAAGCGCACAGAATTCAAATTTAACATTCGATTTACTTCGAATTATTATAAGAATCGGCCGACAGTACTTGATTTTAGTAAAACAAAAAATACAAATAATTATTAACAAAATCAGCAACAGAAATTTAAACAAAAAATTGCTTTGCAATACATCGATATCTTCAATGTTACAGCATGTTGGTATGCGACCGTGCCTTAATATCGTACTATCGATATATTATTGGCAGCCCTGCTCTACACTAAGGTAGACTTGCCGAGTCATAATCGTAGTGACTTGGAGAACGCTGTAAGCAATTTGCAGGTTTTACACTTTAGCGAAGTTGGCATATAATAAGAGGAAAATCAATTCCCAACAAAACTATCAAGATGACACTCACAAATCGGGTAAAAATTCATATACTATATTCTACAAGAAACAACAACCAAAAACAACGCATTTTAGGTGGATTTGGAGTCGGTCTACAATGTTGGCGTGGGCTTCCGTTCATATTATATTCAAAAAATTGAGGAGCTGCAATTGATTGTGGCGGAGAAAAGTCAAAATCTACGCCGATTACAGGCACAACGTAATGAGCTCAATGCTAAAGGTATAAATGATAAAGTAATTGAAAAAGCCTTATAATATAAAAAAGTAATATTGTAGTACGAATGCTGCGAGAGGAGTTGCAACTGTTGCAGGAACAAGGCAGCTATGTTGGTGAGGTTGTGAAGCCAATGGACAAGAAAAAGGTGCTTGTCAAGGTCCATCCCGAGGGTAAATTTGTAGTTGATTTGGACAAGAACATTGATATTAACGATGTAACACCAAATTGTCGCGTTGCATTGCGGAACGAAAGTTACACTCTGCACAAGATATTGCCCAATAAAGTGGATCCGTTAGTGTCGCTTATGATGGTCGAAAAAGTTCCCGATTCCACGTATGAAATGGTTGGTGGCTTAGACAAGCAGATCAAGGAAATCAAAGAAGTAATCGAGCTGCCTGTCAAGCATCCCGAGCTATTTGACGCCTTAGGTATTGCCCAGCCAAAGGGTGTGTTGCTGTATGGCCCGCCCGGCACTGGCAAAACGCTGCTCGCTCGCGCAGTTGCCCATCACACGGAATGCACATTCATACGTGTCTCTGGCTCCGAACTGGTCCAAAAGTTCATTGGCGAGGGCTCACGTATGGTGCGTGAACTCTTCGTGATGGCACGTGAACATGCACCATCAATTATATTTATGGATGAAATTGATTCGATCGGCTCGTCGCGTATTGAATCTGGCTCTGGCGGCGACTCTGAGGTGCAACGTACTATGTTGGAGCTGCTCAATCAACTGGATGGTTTCGAGGCCACCAAGAACATCAAAGTCATCATGGCAACCAATCGTATTGATATACTCGACCCAGCACTACTTCGTCCTGGCCGCATTGATCGCAAAATTGAATTCCCCCCACCAAATGAGGAAGCGCGTTTGGACATCCTTAAGATTCATTCGCGCAAAATGAACTTAACGCGCGGCATCAATCTGAGGAAGATTGCTGAACTGATGCCTGGCGCATCAGGTGCCGAAGTCAAGGGTGTCTGTACCGAGGCTGGAATGTACGCACTGCGCGAGCGTCGTGTGCATGTTACCCAGGAAGATTTTGAAATGGCCGTCGCCAAGGTAATGCAAAAAGACTCTGAGAAGAACATGTCCATCAAAAAGCTGTGGAAGTAAACCTTAACTATGAATACAAAACCGAGTTTCAATGAACTATGATTCTAATTTAATTTCTCACAATATAATTTTAAATATAATAAAACAGAAATTGGCATTTTTTGTTGTGTACACTTTTGTAATGAATTTAATAGCTACTTTTGTTGCGCAGCTGCAGCTCAGCTTTTAGTATGCTGCAAATCTCTACATCATCCGCCACATCGATGCAAGTCTGTCCATCGGCATCGCGCAGCTCCAGATTCGCATTCAACGATAACAAATAGCGAAGGGCCTCCAAATGGCCGCAGCTTGCGGCATAATGTAATGGCGTCTGTTGCTCAGCATCGCGCTGATCGACGTCGGCGCCTTGCTTGACCAGAAATTCAATGATCTCAATGGCATTGCGATCGGTTGCCCAGTGCAACAAGGCCATACCATGTTCATCCAATTGAATTAGATCCGTGGGCTTCAGTTGCTCACGCAACCGCTCCAAGTTGTTCTCTTTGACATGGTCAAATAATGTCTTCAGGTGCTCTGGCTTGTAGATCTCTTCTATTGGCACCGACTCAATAGAGTGCACCACCCAACCGGTCCGACCAATTGCGGTGCCACCAATGATTTGTTTGTTATCCAACCAACTGGGCTCCAGTTTGTGTACTTTATCAACATACGCACGCTGGGCATCGGCGCTGCTCATGTCGCCTAGTTCGTGCCAGGCTTGCCACTTGCTGCGCGCTTTCATTTGCAGCATCGACGGGCGAGGTGCGTGACAGGCTCCACTCGTTGCCTGCTTGTATAATGCATAGAATTCAAGCAAATCTCTGGCGTCATAGATATTCGCTTTGTGCATTACATGTTCCGTTGCCACTGAGAAAAGCTTGTCAAATTCCTTCCCCTGCTGGTGTTCTTCATCATCATCAACTTCTAAGTCACTATCGTACATACTTAACTAAATGCAAGTGCAAATATCAAATAAATCAAACTAAAACTGTGAAAGGGCGCGCGCGTGTGTGTGTGGCTTGTGTGTAAGTGTTCGTGTAGGTGTATGTATGTGTATATATGTGAACGTATGTTTTGGATTTAAAATTTATATTGCATTTATGACTTTTGTATGTTCAAATAATTGCCCTCCAATATGTGTTTTTGTTCGTTTTCGATTTTCTCGAGCGCCTGTAAACTGTTGAAGCTCACAAATCCGTAGCCCTTGGAGCATCCGGTTTTCTTATCAAAAATCACGTTGGCATTTAGAACACGTCCAAACTCCTTAAAATAGCCGCGCAACTCCTGGTGGCCCACCGTCCAGGGTAAATTGCCCACAAAAATGCGGTGAACAGATTTTCCAACTTTTGCCACTGCGGTTGCCATGTGTACGTACAATTTCTTGCTGGTCTCTCTCACTCTCGCTCTTTTTTTTTCTATAGGACCTGCAAAGGTAATACTGGAAATTAGTTAAATATTTTAACTCGGCAATCCGTCCGCCACACCTGCTTGCACACAGACGTTGCGTAAAGTTTATCTATGTTTGTATGGATGTGTGGCCACTGTACTATGCATTAGCGAACGAGCTTGTCGGTGTTGCTCACTAATAAAAATAACCTCAAAGTAGGAATGGTACTATTGCCCTCAGCGATTTGTTATCGATATTGGCTCGATTGTTCGATTTCCTTGAATGTGCAAAAGTTAAAATAGGGGAACTTGTGCGTCATATAACTTTCTGCATAACCGACAGCTTGATTAACATTTTTTTTTTAAATATCTGCACTGTCTCTTTAATTTGTTGAAGAAAAAATTCCGACTTATGCAATAAATTCAAAAACGCTTTTTGATTTGTATGTCTGGCTTGTTATTTTGTTTTGTGTTCCCTTTTCTTTTTATTCACGATTTTATATCTTTTTTAACAAATTTTGTTAAAGATACAAACTACTTATAATTAACAACATCGCATACATATTTAATAAATAAACAATTAATTTTCGTACATTTACAATACAATTCAATACAAGTTAAAACAAAATACAATGGGCGCAATTAATGCATGTTTTCCCGATCAAAAAACTACTATGGAAGCGATTTGTTTCATTCTTGTGTGTTTGTTTTATTTATTTACTTATTTCCTTTTTTTTATTATTTTTACTTTTTTTTATGTTACCTAATGCACTGCGAACAGTTTACTTTGATGCTTAAGATACAATTGGCTACGATTTGTCATTGATTTCGTTTTTTTATTTTTATAAATATTATTATTATTAATGGTTTTCAATCTATGTATGTGCTGTAAATTATGTTAAGTGATTTGGCGTGGCCCTCCTGCAAAATTTGATCTACTTTTATTATAGTATTGGTGTAACGGTGAATCTATTGAACCAACAATTTGGTATGCCCTAAAAGACAAGCTTTGTGATTTTCTTTTAGACTTTAATTGTTAATCATTGTCTTATTCAAATTTAAATATAAAATGCCTGTTTTGCAGGCATATTTTAAAATTAAACATAAGCCCTCGTTTTCCAAACTTAAAACGTTCATATATATACTTGATTCATTCAAAATTAGTTTTTCATTTGCGACCAATAGAAAATTATAGTTACTCGCCTGATTTGTACAAAACCTATACAAGCATGTTTATTAATTAGTATTATTTTATATTAATTACGGATGTATGTATGTATATAGATTATATTCATATGAAATTAAGGATTTTTGACAGATTTCAATTGCTTTCAAACTATTCTTAAAAGTATGCTTTACAAGTTTTTTGTAAATATAGAAAACAATTTGCATTTTATAATAATTTCGATGATATAACTACAACAAACTATATCTAACATAAATATATATGTAATGCTTTCATTATTATACATATAAACGTGTGTTATAGTTGTCTTACTTTAGTTAGCATGATACATATGTAGATATACATATATGTATATATAGATTTTTTTTACTTTAAACTTTCTTTGACATACTGTGCTAAGAGCCGTCTTTTTTTGTACAAATAACGAAATAATTTCATTAATGTTCTAGCGCAAAAATATAGCACTAATATTGATACAAGAAAAATAAAAAAAATTAAATTAAAAAAAAAAAAGAAACAACAAAATTTGTCATAACTGAAGTGTTATAGAAAACAAAAATTCTCTACTACAATCATCTTGTCCACCATTACTGAAAAAATTCGTTAATGTGTCACAGCACCACCTTTAATTATTATTCATGTGTTTGTTTCTTTTTTTTTTTTTTTTTTTTTTCTGCGCTTTTAATGGGTTTTATTTAATTTTAATTTTTTGATTTTTTTTTTTTTTTTTTTTTTTTTTTTTGGATTGTTGATACAAATTAATAAAATTTTTGTAAAATTGAATTGCATTTGTAATTAGAAAGTTTCGAACTATGATTATTGGCAGCCCACCTGCTACCAAAGACGATGCAAATGAAGATTCCGTGACAATACCGAGCGGACATCGTTGGTGAATCGCAGTGCGTCGAGCATTGGAAGCAAGGAAAGAAGTGCTGTATCCATTGGATCGGAGAACCAACTCTTAATTGGTATTGCATTATTTGGAAAACATCGATATGCGCCAGGTGAATTGTCAATTATAAATATCTACAAAAAGAAACAAACATATATTCATTAGATATACTACATAAACACAGAAATAATCATCGTTAGCTGTTATCAAAATACAAATAGCGTTCATCTAACCCTATTCAAGTCACTGCATATGGATGACAAGTCTTTGGTATAGGAGCCATAGTCGGGCGTGCAGTGTTGTCTATAGAAGCGACGTCGCAGTATATTGCGACCATTGTCAAGTTTATCCGCTACAGCTGCTCCATAGATTTCCATGCTGGCGGTGAATACAACTAGATCGTACCACTGTGACACCTGTAAAGAATGAAGGATTCCGATACGTTAGGTTTCGACGTCGACTCGGCTAGAAAAGTAAATAGTTCAAATCGAATAACTTGGATAGATTATAAATACGCAGTGATTAATCAATTTCTATACCCAATATATACAAATGCGGAAACTCTGTAGTTTTTATTTATGAGAATAGTCACAGTGAAAATGGTTAAGTACAGATTTTCGGACAGATGATAAACAATATAAGTATATTTATCTGTTATGCATGAATTCGTTATTATTACTAACATAGCTTCTGCAGAGCCGATTGCATGTATCGAAATCTACTTTTAATATGGGTATAGCTATAACTATACATTATCAAGTATTTCCACTCTATTCCTTACGGAACAGATCCTGCAGATTAGATTAGTTTTCATTAGCACGCCTTTACATTGAATTAGGTCTATCTACTAGATTTTAGATCTAATGCAAATATTCGAAGTTGAGACTAAATTTAATTTGCAAAATTACTCACCACATCCAAAAAGTAATCGACATGTGGTCGCTTGTGCACAAAAAACCGCACAGGATGCCTCTCGATGGTCACTTTAACGGTAAAGTCATGGGGCGTACCAGGCTTAACGGTATTCCGGGGCATAGCATTGTGGTGTGAGTGTATAAGCGTCTCATCCAAATCCAGCACCAAGGTCTTGCGCTGCACCAAACTGAGTCGATGTCGCGATACGGGCGACAGAGGAAACTGTTCATATTTAACTGGCTGATACTGGATAAACTAAGAGAGTTAATTTATACATTCAAATATTGTATATTCACAAATGGTTTGTTGTTATTTTTTAATATTTTCTTTTATTTATATTATTTGCGCAAATTTTTAGAGGAACAAATGACAAAGTAAAGACGTGGAAATATGGTGCGTCATGCTGCCACAGCACTAAATGATCATAAAGAGAATGGAGCAGAGAGAGGTAGACTTAGAAAAGAACGATGTATGTATGTATACATATGCATGTGAGCGCGGATGTGTGTGTGAAAGAGAGCTACAAGTGTCCGACACAAGAAGACATGATCGACTTGTAGCTCAACGATGACACATTTTGATAAAGGATTTTACATGGGTATAATTCAAATGCTCAAGAATAAATCAACTCCTCTGGAGATGGAGGGTAGATGGAAAAGAGCGAGGTGTACCGATTGCTTATCGCAGCCTTGACCAGAGGGGTGCTTCAGAGTGATAACACAATTCCGCAAAAAGAAATGGAATAGCTGTAACTATTGGGCTATTGAGAATATGTATATGGATGGGGTGTGTGTGCTTTATAAATACATCATTTTGTCTAAACTCATTGGGTTTTATAAATCCAATTTTTTTTTTTTTTTTTTTTTTTTTTTTTTTTTTTTGTTCTTACAGCGCGCACTTGGCGATTGAACATGAAGCAAATACATGTCCACACCTTTGATAGCAGCAGCAATAGCGCATGGAATTTCATTTGCACCAACGAAATCATTGGTAAGAAGCTATCTTCTTACCAAATTGTACAATGGCTCCCAGGTAACTTGCTGTCCAGTTGTCAGCGAAACTTTTTTATTTTTTATATTTTGTCGTAGCTTACCCTAACGTTGGGTTAGCATAACATAAAATTCCCGTACACACAAAAAAATTTAAAGAGGAAAAGCTTCCAACAATCACGTAAAAAAGAAAAACAAAAAACAAAAACAAAAACAACGCGCCGGCTGTTGAGCCACAAGTTGATATTGTGCTTGTGCTTTTGATAACGCGCTTAAATTGTGTTTGTTTGCAATTGTGCTGTATCGTTATCGGTATCGATATCACAATTATTGCTTCTTGGACACCTTTTCACTCACATACACAAGCGTACAGACAATAGGCAAGAGGCGCGCAGGGAGCAAAATCAATATTTAACACAAGCGTACTGCCGGGGCTTGTGAAAGGACATCACTATCCTATTATTGTTTATATTTCTTAGCGGCATGTATATGCTCACGCGCACACACAAAAATTAACGCCGTTGCACTGTGATTATATTCTACTATTTACACCGTCTGCATGTTTCACCACTACACTCATTTTCACTGCTGTTGCTAATAGATCTTCTATTGTTGCTATCAATATTTTTGTTGTTTTATGTCGTGTGCAGATTCTTTCCGTTTCTGACGCTGTTGGCAAATTTCGATATTGTGTTCCTTTATTTTCTTTTAGCCGAAAATTGTACCAAATGAAAATTCACAAAATGCTGAATATATAATAAAATTGTTGTATATATTAATATGTATGGCGCGGCAAACTATAATTGCACATTGATATTGAATAATCTGATTCTATTTGTTTAATGTATCGTTCACGTATACATGTCAATACACACACATACACTCTCTTAATCAATTTGGCCAAAAGCCAGTCCAAAAAACAAATTGTGAAAATGAGATTTTCGCCGTGAGCGTGGTGCTGCCATCGGTCGTATATCGATTAATGCGATGTCGCTTTTCTCTTTTGCCGGTTAGAAATAATATCGACTGAGGGATCGCAATAAACGGTCAACAATAAATACTAGTACCTGTTTATTAATAAAGAAATTAATATTAATAATTAATTTTCACAATGTGAATCAATACACAAATATGTATAAATAAATATATATTTTGTTATTAAAGCTGTCGTATATTTAACGATCGCCATATTGGCTTAAAACCATCATGCATGGTTTGAATAATTTATATCTGATTTTTAAAAGAATTGTTCACAATGAAAATCATGCAATTAATAATAATATAAAATGCGTTTACACAATGAGGAGCATTAAAGACTAGAAAAAGAGAAACCGCTGACCACGCGGCATCATGCATAGTCTGAGCGTGTAGCATAATTAAAAATATCGATAGCCGTAAGTCTGCCGGCCGCTGTTATCGTTTAAAGCGTCGTTGACGTTCCTTACAATTCGCAAAAGTGGGAAGAAAAAAAAAATTATGTAGACTTTATAGCAAAAGTATAATCATTGTTAAAATTTTGAACAAACTAAATTTTGGGCTATATAGTTCCGAGATTTTCTTGCTGCGTGTACTTGGCACAACGAATAAACTTTTTTATTGCCACTACTAATATATATATATATATATATATATATATATATATA